GGACAAATGTGCTGTTGTGCAAATAAAAGCCCTTGATTTAATCTTTAAATTAGATTTATAGCTTTGAGTGCCTGCAACAGTCTCGAGAAAGGCCTCTTATAATTTTTTAATGACTCTCAAATAAATTTGACTCCAGGATAGATCTCAGAGAGGCACAGTGTCCTGAGAACTCCAAGTTGGAAATGAATTTCACCAGAGATATTAAAAATACTGCTTTAGCAAGATTCACAGTCTCTGCTACTTTGATGTGGCAGTCATTTTTCTGAAATATTGCCTTCAGTTATCTTAATGCACCTTAGTCAACTGGATTCAGCATTAATCAGAGAAGCAGGTCTACCCATTTTCTGTCCTTTGAAATACAGGAAATGATGTATCCTATCATCACTGAGCTCCTTCCTTGCCACCTAAATTCATATCTAGATAGGAGCTAAATTCTACCTTATGCTCTTCTTAAAATTAAGCCTTGAAGGTGACTTTGAGAATATGTACAAAAGTGAAGAGTAGGGCTACATACGTAAATCATTTGCAGAACTGCTTTTAAAATGCAGATCGTTTCTACTTAATTTGCTTCTTCCCCTTTATTTTGTCTTTGGAAGAAGCAGGTAGAGCTGTGATGCGATTCTTGGCGTTTCTGTCAGAGCTGTCGCCTTCCTGTAGAGGCTCCCAGCAGCACTGGGTAGGCTGGGTGGGACTGCTTAGTCAATTACAGAGGTGCTCTGGCTCTTAGTTATACTTCACCTACAAGAAAGAAGGGCGAAGATTCATCATGTCAGATGTTGGCTTTTAAAGGTTGTGTATAAATGTCCAAAGAGGGAAAAGGAGGGGTAAGGGAAGCTGGGTGGGGGAGGGAGAATCACTGAAATGAGAGAGTTTGGTGAGCAGAGGGCAAGAGGGAAGGAATTAGGAAAGATGCCATGGGGATCTGAAAAGGCAGGGTAGTAGTGGGCATAGATCAATGGTGCTTGATTTTATAAGGCACAATGTAAAAGAAAAAAAGCTCATTGTATGGAACAAAATATAATGTAAATGAAAGACTACAAACAACAAAACTTAAAAAAAAAAAGGTTTCCATTACCTTATCTCCCTACCTTAATTAGCTATCTTCTACACTCTCAAGAGTCTCAGGAGACAGACATTGAATATCTTAAGGGCAATTTCTTATTTATCTCTGCATTGCAGTACTTAGCACAGTGTCCAGTTGCATGAATAGATGGGTGGGGAATGGAGGGATGGATGTATGCATGTTTGCTTGGATGAATGAGTGGGTGGCTTGGTGGAGGGCAAGGTGCCTAAATTCACACAGAAAATTTGTATTTTCTTTAATTTTCACTTTGGATATAACAAAGTATTATAACAAAGAGCTTTATTTCAAAAGAAATATAAGAGTGGGGTAATGGGAACATAGTAATTATTCTGCAATTTTGTGTGACTCCAGAAAGCACAATTAGGACAAATATATTTAACTCATATGAAGGCAAATTTCCATTTAATGGAATCAAGAACTTTCTAACACCAGAGCTATTTAATAATATGATAAGTTGCTTTGTAGAGAGTCTCCATTCACAAGTGGCATGCAGGGAGAGCCTAGGAGGTAATCTGTCAGGAATTATGCAGAAAAATCATCTGTAGTAAGAAGAAGTAGCAACTCTTTCCAATTTTAAGACCACAAGATTCTATGAAGAGTGTCAATGGAACAAAAAAGAAGAGTGAATTTAAAAAGCATTTTTAAGATGAGTAAAATGGCATCAGATTTAGATGTAGACACTGCTAATTTTTAGAATACAAGTAAATTATAAGGTTCTGGCACAGCTATTAGTTACTTGGCTATTAACTGAAAGGTTGGCAATTTGAAACTGCAAGTCACTCCATAAGAGACAGATGTGTTTCATGACTACAGCCATGGAAATGCTTTGGGAAAGTTTTACTCTATTGAGTCACTATGGGTAGGACTTGACAGTAATGGGATAGCATTTGTAGCATTGTGTTTTAAAAGTACTCCTATCCAAAGCTGTGGCATATTCACACAATGAAATACTACACTACATTGAAAAACAAGGAACTCATGCAATATTATTCAAAATGGGTGACCCAGGAGAACATTATGCTGAGTGAAATATCTCAGTCACACAGGGACAAATACTGCATGGTGCCACTGTTGTAAAACAGGACTGACATCGGGGTTGGGGGGAGACTGAGAAAGATGGGATAAATAATGTATACTGCATTGAAACAGATTAGAGAGAAAACTGTTTAAAAGGGATGTGTGGGTCCAAAACAAAGGCTGCATAGTGGCGTGGATGTGGGGGGAGGGACTGTAAAATAATGAAAGAATTTTTCTTTTACTTTTCAGAGAGAAGAGTATACTTGGGGGCAGGGAGGGGGCAGGGAGAAAAGTGCAACAATGAATGAATGGAAATCCAAAGTTTCTGTACATTTTCATTATAATTAATACAATTTTTTAAAAAAAGAAAAAGAAGCATTCCTATCCTTTCACACAGATCATCACTTGGTAATTACATAACCCCTTCATCAGCCTCCCATACACACACACACACACACACACACACACACACACACACGACTTCAGTTTTCTGAACTGAGCCCCAGAAATACAGTGATACCACTAAACCAAAAGGGAGCTCTAGTGGCCTGGCGATTAAGAAACTGTGCTGCCAACCGAAAGGCAAGTGGTTCAAATCCACCAGCTGCTCTGCAGGAGAAAGATGGACTGTCTCCTCCGGTGCGATTTATAGCCTTTGAAAATCCACTGGAGAGTCAGGTATGAGCTGATTCTGATTCAACAGCACATAAAAAGGACAACAAAGAAACTGAAACAAATGGGATGCAGATCACTAGGCCTTTTTTCATTGTACAAGCGTGTGCGTTCAAAATACCAATTTTTTAAAAAAACTTTTGTATTGGTTTGCATACAATAATTCATTTACATTCTGTTTCATTCATGTACATTGTTTTATAAATTCTTTCATTTAAATTGTGTTTCATAAAATCATTCACATACATTTTAGGTAATTAATTGCTATTGATCTAAGTATAATACTACCCCATCTCTTTGAGTCTTCATGGAATCTTTCCTATTCTTTGACACACACACACACACACCCCAATTCGCCCACTAAATTCTGCTCTCCTGGTGATTTCCACCCTTCCCTATTCTCCATCCTCTTCTTTCTTTTCCACTTTTGGACATTTATATGAATTTTACTTGTTATCCCTCTAATTTTGCAATAATGGTTTCATGTAGTATTTGTCCTTAAGAGATTGAGTTATTTCTCTCAGTAGAATTAGCTCTAGACTCTCCCATGTTATATAGTATTTTACAAAACCATTGATCTTTAATGCTGCATAGTACTCCATTGAGTCATTGTATCAGAGTTTCACTGTTCTGTTCACTGTTCATTCATTCATTTGTTGATGGGAATATGGACTGTTTCCAATTTTTTTTTTTGCTATTTATAAATAATGCTTCTATGAATGCAGGAATGTGTGTGTGTGTGTGTGTGTGTGTGTGTGTCTCAGTTCTAATTTCCTTGGGGTATATTTCTAGCAGTGGAATAACAGAATCATATGAGATTTCTATAGTTAGCTTTTTGAGTAAACGCCAAACTGCCTTCCAGAGTGGTGGTTTCATTTTATAAACCCATCAGCAGTGCATGAGAGCTCCTATCTCTCCACATCTTAGCAGTGACATCTCAGACAAGCATCTCTCCACATCTTCTCCAACACTTATTGCTTAATGTCTGGTTAAGCTTTGTCACTGCTACTGGGATGAGATGGTATCTCATTGTGATTTTTATTTGCATCTCTCTGATTGCCAGTATTTTGAGTATTTCTTTGTGTCTCTGTTGGCTGTGAAAAGCCTTTCCAAGTCTTTTGTCCATATTGTAACTGGATTATCAGTCTTTTTCTTGTGGAGGACCTGTAGTATGCTTTAAACATTTGTTATGAGATGCTTATCTGAGATGTCACTGCTAAATGGTTTTAACCCAATCTGTAGGGGTTTCCCCCCTGACTCTGTTGATAAAAGGTTTTTATGCACCCAGGGCTTAATTTTTAGAAGCTCCCATTCATTGATTTTCCTTTCTTGGTAGTGCACAACCAACCAAATTTTATGGTTAGTAGCTAAGCACACTTTTTTGCACCTAGATTTTGCATCTTGGTGATGCTTCTAGAATGTGGCTATTTGAAAGGGAGTTTGATTTGGGAGAGCAGAGAACTGATATGGGACTCAAAATCTTAGGAGATTGAATATATCCACTCTTTGCTATAATTTGCATTTTCATAATTTTAAAAACTCTTGTCTGGACCTTGATTTTCTTTAGATGTTGCCTCATTTCTTTCAGACACTGAAACTCTAGACCTCTGATAATCCACATAGCCATTGATCAAGCTTTGCCTAACAAGGATTTCACGTTGATGAATGTTTTGTGTTTGTTCTTTTGTCTCCCTGTAGCCATCAGAATCCCTGGTTAGTGCAATTGGCTAATGTTCTCAGCTGCTAGCTGAAAGTCTAGTGGTTCAAATGTACCCAAAGGCATCTCGGAAGAAAGGCCTGACAATCTATTTCTAGAAAAATGACCGAGTCGGAGCAGGTGCAGGGGAAGCTCTGTGGAGCACAGTTTTCCTCTGAAACACTTGGGGTTGACTTTTACTCATAATAAGACTGCTGCAACTGGCTTACTGCATATCCCTTGTTGTTGTTGATTGCCTTAAAGTTGAGCATGACTCACAGCGGCCCTGTGAACAAAAGGCCTGAACCCATCTACAACTATTGACATTTATAAAAGTTCATAGAGTTTCTGGAAGCAAGTTGTTTATGACGTGGGTCCCACTCCTGCTTCCAATATCCCTTATTAATCCCGTAAAATTTATTAGACTCTCCTATCCTCTTGACATTTTGTTGAAATAACTTTTGAGGGTATTTTGGTGCATTATATGCCTTGCTTTGGTTTATAAAAATCATATTATGTTATCCTTCCCAGGAAATTGCATGAGTGAATTCATGGGACTCATCAAAGGTCACTATGAGGCAAAGCAAGATGGGTTCCAGCCTGGAGGAGGCAGCCTGCACAGCACGATGACCCCCCACGGGCCTGACGCTGACTGCTTTGAGAAGGCCAGCAAGGCCAAGCTGGCACCTGAGAGGATTGCTGATGGCACCATGGTAAGCAAACTAAATGCCAAGCTCTGGTGGCCTCTGAGCTCCTTGTCCTTGTGAAAAGAGGGGCTGTTGTTTTTGTGTTGGTTTTTTTTTTTTATTTCACCAAAGTCATAGGTGAGAATTCCAGAGAGAGAAAGGAAGATGCATGTCTCCATGTGTATATCCATGTGTGTGTATACACTATACTGTGTGTATATATTAGACTGTGGGTGGGGTAGAATAGTTTTTAACTTAGGGTCAGATCCTACTTCTGACTTCCTGTGTGTCCTTGAATACATAACTTCCCTGTGACTAATCTTCCCTCTCTGAAGAATGGCTATTATAAGTTGATAACCGTGATTAAAAACCTTGCAGGTTATCCAACACTGAAAACATCAGGAGATAGTGCCATATGAAGAGTCTTCCCTTTCCTGTAGGCAGCTCTGTGCACACATACATTCTGTCTCAGTATCTTTTGCATTTTGAAGTGATTCTCCAGGACCACGGTGGCTGGAGGAGGGAGGGCATGATGTCACCCGCAGTGGATTTCTCCAGCCCAGCAAGCCAGGAAGCTTTGGCCTCACTACAATCAGAGCTTGTGAGCAGCAATCCTCAGCTACTCTCTCCTTTTCTATTGCTTTGCTTTGACATGGATGAAGCTGATGGGATTTAAAGCCTGTTTTGTATTCCTCCTGTGTCAGGTTGTAAACATTGAGGCCAAACACAATTGCAGTTGGCTGCGGTCCTTGATTTTATTTTATGTCTGCATTCTTGGAGGTAGGGTTTATGGTCCACAAGGAGTAATTTTAGCCTACAGTATAGGCAAATTTGCTTTCCATTTTTTAAAACAGATACCTTCAATGCTACCTGACTTAAAAGTGTACAGTGCCAGGCCTGCCCAGGTGGTAAACGACCTGAGCAGTGAATGGTATCTATCCATCTGTCCAAGGCAGCTTGCCTCCTGTGCCACCTCCGGTGCTAGAGTTGGTGGAGCTGCTCTGGAGGGAACGATGCAGACTTCCACCTGCTTGATCTCAGCTCTGTCTTCCCCAGCAGTGTCCTCTATGGAATTTCTACAGAACCTCAGACATCCCTGGGAGATGCATTTCTATCCAGTTTAGTTAAGTTACTGTCTCTGGAAGCCTCCTGGAGGTGCAGAGGCTGCCCAAGCGGAACCACTGGATAGCTTTGGGTGCCCCAGTGTGGCTTTGGGTAGTCAGTGTACCAGAGAGCGGTGTCCTGCAGCAGCGAGGGACAGCACAGGGTTGTTTGTATTAGCAGCAGTGTCTAAAGCCTAGAGAGGAAGAAAGAATTCTATGTGAGGAGGAGGGGATGGAGGGAAGGGAGGCCCTGGACAGCTAGAGGCTGTGGGCTACCTCAGGGGGTCACCCAATGCCAACATTATACCCTGACCTAACTTTAGTTCTCTCTCAACATCTTAACCTTCTTCTCTGCTATCTGAAAGCAGAATGTTCTTGTTAAACCTTCTGTAAGGCAACATGACATAACATGAAAAAAGCAATTACCATTCATTCAAATGGGAAAAAAGTTTGAGCATCCCCAGACCTTACCAAAAAAATAACCTGCTAAATCATCCCAAATAATACATAAGATAAAAAAATAATACTAACATACAATGTTCACAGACATAGTTCAAAGCTGTGGCAGCTTACTGCTGAGATGCTGAGCACAGTTTCTGCAGAAGGAGCCCCCCTCTGGCTGCCTGGGGCGTGCTGCCTCTGTAACAGCTCACTGGCAAATGAATGCCTTGTTCATAAAAGCAAAAAGACTCTTCAAGTTTCTTTTGGTTAGCAAGCACAAGTACTAATGTAAGTCTTTTATAAAAGCAATGTGGCGTAAAGCACACTTTTGAAAGATGGGAGATTGTTGTTGTTTTAGGTGCCATTGAGTTGACCTCAACTTACAGTGACCCTACATATGACAGAACAAAACCCTGTCCCTCTTCAAAATCTCTGTGGTGCTTTAGCCCGTGGCTGCAGTGACTGTTGGAGCTGCATTTTAGCATCTTCCAACCCTAGGGCCTCATCCTCCAGCGCTACATCAGACAATGTTCTGCTGCTGTTCTGAGGGCTACACCTCCAGTTTGTTCAAACACCAGCAAGGTCATTCATGGTGGCAGGTTCCAGCAGAGATTCCAGACTATGACAGACTAGGAAGCAGGGTTGGCCATCAACTTCTGAAATAATGGGTCCCTGAAAACCCTATTGAAAGATAGGGGGTAGTGGTATGTAACTGAGACCCAGGCCTATCAGTATGCTTTGTTCTTTCTCCAGTTTGGAGCCATTAATTTGATACAATACTGAATCTCATTACTCTGGACAGACAATAAGTCTCCTAAGAAGCAGTCAGCAAGGGATAAAAAGAATAATGGTCACAGTAATGACCTTATAAATGAACAGGGCTTTGGGGCTTGTATAGCATTTTCCTATGATCTCATCTGATCCTGACATCAAGCCTGTCACAGGAAGTCAGGCAGGGATAATCATCTGTTAGTGGGCAGAAAAAACCAAGTACTAGACACCAAAATTAATGTGTGCACTCTGGATTGTGACACCAGAGAATTTTATTATCTTCCCTTTATCATCTCCATTTTTAAAATGTCCAACAATGTGAATATATAAAAACTGAGGACTTCCCCCCCAACCCCTGTTTTTTTCTTCCTAAAGCTCAGGAGAGTTTACCAACAGGTTCATCCTGGAGAGGGTGAAACCAGGTTGCTCCTTGGAGGCAAGGATTTGAAACTCCATCTGATGTACTTTTGGCATGTTTGCAAGGAGGGACCAGTCCTTGGAGAGGGACATCATGCTTGGGAGGGTGGAGGGACAGCACAAAAGGGGAAGACCCTGGAAAAGATGGACTGACTTAGTGACTGGGTCATAGGGGTAGGTGTGCCACAGACAATAAGGTTAGAACAAGGTTCAAAGTTGTTGTACCTAGGATTGCTAGAAATTACAAGTGACTCAATGACACATAACAGCAAAGCTATCTATCTCTCTCATGACTGGAGAATATGAAATGCTTCATAGCTGACCCTCCAGTGAGTTTCTGAGGCTGTAAATCACAGGGGAGGAGATTTGTACCTTTGCCCCATGGAGTCACTGGTGGATTCAACCACCAAAGAGGTGTGCCCTTTGGGTTAGCAGCAAGGCTCCCTAAACACTCTGACAACAAAGCTCCCGGAACCTACAATGTATTACTTAAAGATTTTTGCCTCTCCATTTCTCTAGACATCTAATCAAATGTGTTATGACCCATCTTACCTTCTTTTCTAATCCATCTTTGTTTCCTACAGGCATTTATGTTTGAGTCTTCCCTCAGTATGGCTGTCACCAAGTGGGGGCTCAAGACCTCCAATTGTTTGGATACTAACTACTACAAGTGTTGGGAGCCTCTCAAGAGTCACTTCACCCCCAATTCCAGGCACCCTGTAGGCCCTAATTGAGACTGGAACACTGCTGGCATAATTGAGAATGGATCTACATGGTTTGCTTTAGAATCTTGTACCCTTGAGCAGTATTAGGAAAGGAAGCTGGCTAGAATGAGAACTCACTTTTTCTCAGTCAAGTAACTCAGAACATTTGTTAAAAACTTGTCTGAAAAAAGCTCTACAAATGTCAGCTTAACTTCTCAATAAATACTTTCTGGTGTTCTGTGAATATTCTTCTTGTTCGCCGCCATAAAATCAGCCTCCAACTCACATAGCGACCAATACGCTCGCCTGTACTGATAGATGCATGATGGTTATTCATGAGTCACCTTGACTGGGTAATGCACCTGAGTCTCCCTCATGGAAGAGAGTGATCAGTCTCTCTGTGGAAGTGGTGATGGGGCACAATCAGGTCCTGACCCAGAAGCCAGTCTTTGGGGGCCAGAAAGTCCTATGAGATTGTGCTGAGGTCAAGGCCCTTCCCATTACCTTAACCTGAGGTCCTTTATATGAGGACCACTGTTTTGTTGTTAGGTGCTTCCAAGTTAATTGCAACTCATAGCAGCCCAGTGCACAGTATGAAACCTTACCGAGCCTGTGCGATCCTCACAATCTCCACTGTGCTCAAATCCATTGTTGTAGTCACTGCATCCATCTATCTCACTGAGAGGCTTCCTCTCCCTCTCTGACCCTCTGCTTTTCTGAACATGATGTCCCTCTCCAGAGATTGGACCCTCTTGATAACACGCATAAAGTATGTGAGACAAGATCTTTTCATCTTTGCCTCTGAAGAGCACTCTGGTTGCACCTCTTCCAAGACAGATTTGCTGAATTTTTATGGGAGTTTATGGTTTGGGTTTTGGGGGATTTGGGGGTGAGAGTGGGTAGTCCACATTCTTCACCAACACTACAGTTCAAAGACATCAACTCTTTTTCGGTCTTCATTATTCATTGTCCAACTTTCTGATGCACATAGATCATCAGACTAAGGTATTTACCGGGAACTAGGATATAAGCTTAGAAGCTGGAGTGGCATCCACTTCCGAAACAGCTTGCCTCCGGAAACCCTGTGAACTTGGAGGAACGATGAAAGTTATCCAAATGTTCAGGTCTTTCATTCATAGGGTCTCTATGAGTCATCTACGACTTGACAGCACTTAACAACCACCACAACATAGAGAGAGCTCAGTTGGCCTCGTGGACAGAAAGCGATGCTACCAAGCCAAAGGTGGGTGATTTCAATCTGTGGCACTCAAGCCTAGTTTTAATTGTTCTTGGTCAAACATTCTTCTAAGTGGCATAGCACTGGTCTGTCCATTTGTTGTACAAAGGTAACTCATGGTTGCTGTGATGCTAAACACTGTGTCAAATGTGTCAAATGTGATAATGGTTACCCATGGTGGATAGTGTTTGGTGAAGCTTCCTGATTAAAATAAGCTTGGAAGCAGGAGTGGCATCCACTTCTGAAATAGCTTTCCTCTGGAAACTCTATGAAAGTGGAGAAATGATGAAAGTTATCCAAGTGTTCAGGTTTTTCATTCATAGGGTCGCTATGAGTCGTCTATGACTCAACGACACTTAACAAGAACAACAACAACAGGCTATAAGAAATAACAGGACCAAGCATAAGGGCTAAGAGGTGAAGCTGAAACCAAGGCCAGTTCATGGAATTCAATGCAAGCAGGGATTAGCGGATCTTCAAACATGCAGCTGACAGCTCTTAATGGAAGAACAGCCTGGTCAGCAAACTGGCTAATTTGGTAGCCACAGAGTCAATATGGAAGTTACGGAGGGCTAGTGGTAAGAATGGCACTGTAATCCCAAAGGCACACAATTCAAATCCACCAGCTGCTCCAAGGGAATAGGATGGGCAATGTCCACTCACGTGATTAACTCTCTCTGAAAACCCACCAGAACACCAGCTACGAGCCAGCTCTGACTCAATGACACACAACAACAAAAGATCAATACAGTGATGGACAAGAATTCCAGCCACTGGAAGCAAGAATTAGTCATTCCTTAGACTGATCAACCACTCCAGCTTGGCTAGGACTGTCTTACTGTTCGCTCTGAAAGTCTTATATCCCAGGAAACTGCTGGTCCCAGGACAAAACGAGGACAGTTATTGTTGCTGCAAGGTGTCATCAAGTTGACTCTGACTCATGTGACCCCACAATACATTGAACCCCTGTCTAGTCCTGCACCATCCTCACAACCTCCTGTGCTGTGACAGTCACTGTGCTGATCTATTCCATAAAGGTCTTTCTCTCCTTTGCTGACCCTCTATTATACAAATTCTCCATAGCAATTAAAATTTTTAAATAAAATTTTTCATTGACCACTGTGGCAGAAGCTGCCTGTGGCCCACCCATGTCTTAGCAGCAATCAAGCTGACTGGCTGTTTCCAACAGCCAACACCAGTAATTCTTTGCCTGGGGCTGAAACTAGAAACCTACTCATAGTGCTGAGGAATTAATACCCCTGCAAGCAGCCCTCAGTCCCTGACACTGGAAATTGGCAGATTCATATTCAGTTCTCACCCCAAATCTCTGAGACTCAACTGTTGGATATTTTTTGTTTATTTTAATGAAAGTTTAAAAAGACTTTGGTTTCTATTATTAATTGTTGCACATTTCTCCTGTCCAGCCCTCCCCCCAATTCACTTTTGTTTTTGAAAAGTAAAAGAAAAAATTCTTTCATTGTTATTCAATCCCTACCCCCAAGTCCACTCCACTGAGCTACCTTTGTTCTGGACTCCTGTCATAACAATAATACTTAATCATATATCCCTTTTAAACAGTTCTCTTCCTCATCTGTTTCAATGCGTATACATAATTTATCCCATCTTTCTCAGTCACCCCCCCAACCTCTATGTTAGTCCTCTTTTATAACAGTGACATTATGCCGTATTTGTCTTTTTGTGACTGAGATATTTCACTCAGCATAATGTCCTCCAGGATCACCCATTTTGTGTAATATTTCAGGAGTTCCTAGTTTTTCACTGCAGCATAGTATTCCATTGTGTGAATATACCACAGCTTCTCTAGCCATTCATTTGTTGATGGGCACTTGGGTTGTTTCAGATTCTTTGCTATTGTGAGACTCTACTTCTACCCTGGTTTCCTGGAAGAACTGATGCCATTGAGTCGTGGTGGTGAAGAAGAGTGCTGCTCCCACGGACAGTCAAAAGAATAAACAAATATGTCTTGGAGAAAGTGAGGTCAGAGTGCTTTTTAGAGGTAAGGATGGTACAGCTTCTTCGTACGTATTTTGGGCATGCTCCTTAGAAAGGGATATCATGTTTGGAAAGATGGAGGAAGGTCCGTGAAAGAGAGAAAGACCTTCAAGAAGATGGATTGACATGATGATGGCAGCAAAGGGCTCAAGTACATAGCACAGGTGATAAGGATGGACCAGGATAGGACAGGGTTCAGGTCTGTTGTTCATAGGGTTGCTATGAGTTGTGCTCTGCTCAAAAGCACCAAACAACAGCAACATTAGAGGGATAATGCACCCATTGCTCATGTCTTCAATTTCCCTACTCTCCGATGGTGCTTCTTGCCCTCTTCTCTGAAATCCAAACTAATGTTGTTGTTATTGTTAGGTGCTATCATCGACCGCTCATAGTGACCCTATTAACAAAAGACCTGAGCACTGTTCATAGAGTTTCTGGAGGCAAGCTATTTTGGAAGTGGATGCCACTAGGCCAAGCCTCAAGCCTCAAGGACATGCTCCTGGCCTCGGGTTTAAGGCAGGTGATGGCTAAAATACCTGAAGGGGGAGGGGAGGAGAAGGTGGCCAGATGGTTCCTGGATGACTCCACTCTGGTCTCTCTGGCTTCAAGCTGCCTGTGCATGGTGGCCCACATGTGCAAGTAATTGGAAGAGTTTTGGGGTCATGTGCATTTTCGGGCTTGTGTTTGATGTGCAGTACTGCTCTTCCGCCCAGAAGTAAGGTCCCAAAGTAATACAATGATTAAAGTATTTCACCAACAAATCCCAGCCTTTCCTTTGTAGACTTATTGGCATCCTAATTTTATTCCCTCCTTGAGTAGCGCAATGGTTAATATGCTTGGTTATAACTAAAAGTTTACAAGTTCAAGACCACACAGAGGATCCTGGAAAGAAAGGCCTGAAATCTACTTCTATAAGATCAGCTACTGAAAATCCCTATGGAGCATAATTCTGCATTGATACACATAGGATTGCCATTCTACAAGAATTTAAAAAAAAATCCTAAAAATTCCATGCAGGTGCCTAGACACTTCTCCATTTCAGCTGCCATACTAGTGTGTCTGGTGGCAGAGTCTTCCTTGGGCAGCTGCAAAGTTCTGGGTTTACAACCACTTTGTGTCCAAGTCCTTGTACTTTATCTCTCTACTGCTGACAGCAACTTGCCAGCTCAAGACAGTATTTCACCCAAGCCAGGCGGTTCATGCTAATTAAAAGAGATTTAGTTTCCTTCTTCTGTGCCTCAGACCAGCTAGAAAAATGCGTATCATTTTCTTTCATCTCTGCTTAGAAGTAGGAAACCTACAACGGAGCTCTGGTGGCCTAGTGGTAAGGAACTGTGCTGCCAACCCGAAGGCATGCAGTTCAAAAGCACCAGCTGCTCTGTGGGAAAAAAATGGACAATGACCCCTAGGACAATTTACTGCCTCTGCAAACCTGCTGGAGGGTCAGCTATAGATCACCTATGGATTGGTTCTGACTTGACGGTACTCAACAACAACATAAGAAGAAAAAAAAATGCAGCCTTCTCCAACGACAGGAGAGTTTCCTGCCACAACCCCTTGGTACTTTTCTATATTTTCCTGCTAATGAAGAATGTAATTATACTTACACATTTCTGTTTTCCTTCTCACAGCCCAAACTACCAGCAATGGCTCCAAACCAATGAGTCTCAAACTTATCCTTACCATGTTATAGTTCCCGTCCGTATTTGGTTTTTCTTAGAATGATAAAATCATCAACTTTGTATAAATATGTCACGAAATGCCCAAAAATATGCTTTTGTGAGGCAGTGTGGTGTGTAGTTGAAAGAACAAGTGCTGGAGCAAAGCTAGGTTTTACCACTTTTTCAAGCAGATCACCATGCCTCCCTGGTAAGGCACTTCTGGGTGAAGTCAAGCCTCCGTCTTCTAGTCAGCAGCCGAGCATGTTAATTATTTGTCCCACCCAGAAGCATCTGAAAAGCAATAAGCACAGCATAACAAATGGCTGTTAAT